TACTTTTTACCATCTTCCCAAAATAACTTTATCTTAATTGAGTCATTTTTTATTTCAATCACATTATTTTTTTATTACATTATATATCTTTCACTTTTCACTTTTTATTTACATCATATTATTTCATTATCAAATTATATATTTTATTATAAAAAAATAAAAGATACAAAAATAACTTATTTTGAAAGATAAAAAGTTATCTTTTTAAAAATACACATGTCAAGAGCATAAGAGCATCTCTAACGGTAATAGGTATTTTACCTATTTAAATATTACTATAAAGTATACATTTTATTTTGTCTATTAACTATTTTATATTTCTGCTTCAACTATGCTCTTTATTTTAATTATTCATTCAAATATTATTAATTTTATAGAATGCCACATCAGGAACAAAGATGGGGGGAAATAAACCTAATGATTAAATGCATTTTGCCTAATCTTAAAAGCTAGCTACATGTAGCTAGTGAATGTGAGTTGAGTTAAAATACCTAATCACATGCTTAGTGCATTGAAATTGAAAAAAAAATGAGTCATACTAAGTATTTTACCCAACAAATATTAAACACCTAGTGCGTTTGAGATGCTCTAATATCAGAACACAGAATAGGATAGGCAAGCGGGACGGAAGATTCCAGTCCTTTATTACAAAGCATATCCGTTTGGCAAGAGCTAAACGGGGTTTTTTTGGCTATTTTAGCCACAAAAGACAAAATAGGTTATTTTAGCCACAAAAAACAAAATATCGCATCAAATTCATAATCATTACGTTCTTTTCTTACAAAAAAAAGTCAAAAAATCAAAAAGTTCTTTCCAAACCAAACTTTTTAGCCCAGGTTAAAATAACTAAAAAAGTCAAAAAATCAAAAAGCCAACCCACTTTCCAAACGGAGACTTAATTTACTTTGATTAGTTTTCACAATTTCCTTTTAAAACTCAAGTTATCAGTAAAAGTTTTTTTTTTTTTTTATTGAGAAGCAAGGGGTGAGCAGCTTTTCAGAATTAGCTTTTTTTGACTTAAAATAAGTTGTTAAAATCAGAAGCTGTTTGAAATAAGTTTAACCAAACAGTCCAAAATAACTTTTTAAAAGCCAGAAGTCATAAGTTGGCTTAAAAAAGCTCCACCAAACACCCCCATATTAGTTTACGACAACACTAAAGTTTTATGAATACACTATTTAGCAACTAAAATTTGATAGATTTTGTTAATGTGTATTTAGAGTACATACTAAAAAATTTAAATATATATATATATATATTATTGCACATATTTTTGTTTTTTATACATTAAAACGTAACATAATTTTTAAAATATCTCAACATATATATGAATGATGCACAATAATAAATTCGTCACCAATTTTTTGAACAATTTAATCTTAAGAGGTTAACCTAGTAGGTGCAGTTTAAAGGTTGGTTTTGGATGTTCTAAAAAAGTGTACTTTTTAACTTATTGGCTTATATGGGTTGGGTTTGAGTTGGGTTTGATGTGATATGTTAGAGAGGTGATATGATTTAAATAAGATGATGTGATTTAAATAGGATAGTGACTTTTTGACTTTTTATATTATTTAGTAGATGTCAAACTTGACCTAAGATTTGGGAGTGTGTTTCTTTTAAGTCTCAAGTTCAATTCTTTGACGTCACATTTGCGAGATTTGCTTGATTTACGTGGAGAGAACACTTGATTGAGTACTGACATTAGTCGAAATACGCATAAATTGACTCGGACACTTGATAAAAAAAACATACAAAATATATATTTTTCTATCATTTGATCATGCGATATGAGAAATGGGTATACTGCTGTGGCTAAACCACATCAGTTACTGCTGTACTTTTTTGTGGGAGGTCGTTCCGAGTGTTTTTCGATAATTTGAACCGTTTATATTGCAGAGTTCGTCAATAATATAATTCATGTAAAAAATCAAGTTAATCGGATATTCATAACCGCACGATTAGGTCATAATTGTTTTTAAAAAATTATAAAAGTTACGTTAACCGTTAATTTTTATAAAAACAAATGTGCTTTAGTTATAGGACTACAAATATCTAATTAACTTGATTTTTTTTGTAACAATAATCTATTTGATGAACTTTGTAATATGAGCAATTTAGATTATTAAAAAACATTCAAGACGGTCTCTCACAAAAGGTACAACAGTAATTACTGTGCTTCAAGAATAGTAGTATCTCCGTTTCCAGTGATTGGCCAGCCAACCTTGTCGGATAATTCCTAATCACAGTCGTATTAATAAATAAATGGATAAATTACAAACACACCCTCGAGGTTTGGTAAAAATATAAATTTCTTCTTAAGATTTGAAAAATTACAAATTGTCTCGTGAGGGTCAAATTTTCATAACAAATTAGGAAAAATTAAGAAAAAATCTGTATGAAAATAAAAATCTCAAGAGACAAATTGTTATAAAAATATAAACCTCAAGAGGCGAGATGTAATTTCTTAAACCTCAAAAGAAATGTGTATTTTTACTAAATCTCAAGAGTGTTTGTAATTTGTCCAAAATAAATGAATCAATAAAAAAATAATTAACTGTAGTTAACAAGAGACAGACCCCATTTCGGTTGATGGCTGGGCCATCGCGGACTCCAAACAACCTATCCATTCTAGTTAACTCCAAAATTTTTAATTTTATTTTAGATAAATTACTCCCTGTCTTTTTATATTTGACAATTTTCTCATTTCAATATTTAAAATTTATTTATTTTTTACTTTAATCCTTTATGTTTTAATTTTTTCACAATTTATTTCCAAAATTAATTTATGTATAAAATTAGACAAAATGATGCATTCACCTAATAGAAAAACATATTATTAAATATTAGAATTTAAGTTTGTAGCAAAGATATGAATTGTATATAATAAAATATGTTTATGATACATAATTATTAATATATTATTTTATATTTAATTTTATACATAAATTAAATTTTAAAAAGTTGACAAAATATAATTTAGAGTTGGTTTGGAATGTTCTAAAAAAGTGCACTTTTTGACTTATTGGCTTATATGGGTTGGGTTTGGGTTGGGTTCGATGTGATGTATTAGAGAGGTGATGTGATTTAAATAAGATAATGTGACTTTTTAACTTTTTATATTATTTAATTTATGCCAAACCAACCCTTAACCTTTATTTTGTTAAGACAGCACGTCATCATCCATAAAACAGTGCGCTATTCGCTGGCGTACGAGAGAACCCTTCTAGTGAGAAATTATTGGTTGATTTACCGCTAGGTGGTATGTTAGGATTAGCAGAGGAGGTAGACTCAAAATATTTTATTAAAGTTTTTAGAAAATGTTTGTTAGCTCAAATTTTTGTGATTTAAATGGCTCAAATCTGTCAAAACGACGTCGTTTTACACTCAAAATCTGTCAAAACAACGTCGTTTTGATAGATTTGAGGCATTTGAATCACAAAAATTTGAACTACCTAGTATTGTCGAAAATTTTTATAAACGTCTTATATGGTTATGGATCTCTTACTTTATGAGTTTTATATGAGCTCTACACACATTTATTAATAATATAAAATGAGATCTACACACATTTATTAATAGTCTTACCGTTTCAAAATATTAATTATTTATTTTATTTTTTATTATTTTGAAATATTATTTTTTTTCAAAAATTAAATACAAAAATAACATAAAATTTTCATTTTGTCTTTTTTTTAAAAAATTTATTAACAATATAAAAATTATAATTATGATATTGATATTCTTAAAAAAATGTGCTATCAAAGGATAATTTTAAAAATTAAATTTTTTTAAAATGTAATAATTGTATTATCAAAAAAGTTAGATTTTTCAAAAAAAACTATTATTTTGGGATAGAGGGAGTAGAAATATTGATAGAATATATGGACTCCTTAGCATTACTCTTCATGATTTTATGTCGAGTGATTAGAGAATATGAGAGAGTATGGAATTTGTGATTGGTTAGAAACACCATCACATGATGCTCTAGTAACACCAAATAATTTTTCCCTCGTCCACGACGCGTTGATCGAGTGACGTGGGTACACCTGTACGGGAGACGTGACATTGGAATAAATATAAATAAATAAAAATATTAGCCAACGCGAATTTCGATGGCCAACTCAACCAACCACCCAACCCAACAGGCCAATTATTATGGTTTGTCTCCAGAAGTAGATTAAAATTATTATTATTATTTTTTATTTTTTCAATGTTTAAAAGAAAAAATACTCTTTTTCATCCTAAAATATTAATTTCTTATTTTATTTTTTATTATTTTAAAATATTAGTATGTTTTTAAAAATTAAAAACTAAAATAATGTAAATTTATGAGTAATGTTAGTGACTTTAAATAATCTACTAAGGTCATGTTTGTTTGGGCGGATTGGATTAGCATTCCCATGATTAATAGTCCTAAGACTACGAATTCGTTAGATTATGTATCCTATCTTAACTAATAGTCAAGTTTAAAATAATTAGTTCGTACTTTAATTGTTTAACCAAACATTGGATTAATAATTTTATTGGACTATTAGTCCAATCCCAAACTCATGTCCACCCAAACAAACATGGCCTAAATGCTCTATAAAATCTCTTATGTGAGTGTAGAACTCACACATGTAAATTTGTATGGATTCAACAACTACGTAAGAGATTTCATAAAATATTTAGTAGATTTCATAAAATATTTAGTAAATTATTTAGAGTTTATAATATTTTTTTTAAAATCTTTTATTTTATCTTCTTTTAAATTTATTAACAACATAAAATTTATAATTATGACAATTAATATTTTTTACAAAATATATTATTAAAGGATAATTTTAAAATTTTAATATTTTTAAAATATTATAATTATGCTATTAAAAAAATTAAATTTCTCAAAAAAAAAACTAGAACAGTAAAAATTTGTAAAAAGACAAAGAGGGTTTAAAAGTTAAAAAGATGGTCTTTGCCAAACGAGGCCTATGTGTCTACACATCTCTACCAACACGTGTCTCCTGACTTGGATCTCTCTCTCTCTCTCTCTCTCACTATTCTCTGCAAAGGCTTCCCTCCCTCCTCCGATTTATAGAGAGAGAAAATGCTGAACTTGCGACGCTAGGGTTTGGGCCGTAGTATGTAAATTGTTTTTTTTCCTTTTTTCCTTTTCGCCATTGGAGATACACGGAGCTAGCTCCACGGTGACTTTTTGTTTTTTTCTTTTTGGTTCTGATTTTTTGAATTTTGGCGGAGATTGGTGGTTCGAGAGTTCAAGGTATGTTGAATTTGAAGTTTCATTTGTTGAATTATAGTGTTTGAATAGAGGATTTATTCTGTGTGGAATTTTGGATTTTTTGTGGTGGAACTTATGTTGATCTCCAAAAGTTGTCTTTGTTTCTGCTGCAGATTGTGAATCTGAGTGTGTTTTTTAGTTGATGATTTGATTCGAAGACTAGTTTTTGCATTACTTTAGCTGTAGTTTTGCTCTGTTTCATGGAATTGCTATCAAGTTCAGAATTTTGTAGAGACAGAGAGAGATCAAAGAAATTTGAAATGGAAAAAAAGTGGTGAAAATTGAAACTGTTTCAATTAGTTTTGCTCTGTTTCATGGAATTGTTGTCAAGTTCAGAATTTTGTTGAGAGAGAGAGAGAGAGAGAGAGAGAGAGAGATCAAAGAAATAGGAAAAGGAAAAAAAAGTTGTGAAAACTTGAAACTGTTTTAAGTAAGAGAATCATTTGCAGATGTGTACTAGCTGTTGATTATTAAAATTCATAAAAAGTGAAATAGTGTAATTCAGAAATTTTCACTTAGGAATGAAAATTTGAGTTTTTTTTCAAGTTGCACTTCTGAGGATGTTTTTGTCATTTACCTCGTAGGCTATCCTTGGATTGAGTCAATTGACAGAAATTCATAATGGGTAAGTTATCTTTCTGATATTGGGTAGAGATGTGAAAAGACAATTATGCCCCTTTCCTTTTCTTTCCTTTCACTTTTGTTAAGATTTTGGTTGGTACTATTGTAAATGATTTGTTTGCATTTGAATCTTGTTGTACTTGGAGTTTGGAATATCTGCAAGATGTTATGACAAATCACTAATACTTGGCGTATTCAGAGTTTAGTTGAGTGGTAGTACCTGTTGATATCTTGCTTGAACATGTCTTCTGATTAATGGAAGGTTGCATCTCCAGCTTTTCAATAATTCTTTTTTTGATAGACTTTGAGCGTATGAAAGTTTTAATCACTACTATGTCATATCTAGATTTATTTTGTGTGTTATTGTCTACTAATAAGTGTCTTAGATTTTACAGGCAAAGCACTTAATTTTACTTTGGGGTCTCTCCTTATTTGTTTAGTAAATTGGGTCCCTTCCCCTTCCTCTTAGAGAGAGAGATAGAGAGAGAGAGTAGTGAGAAGAAGGCTTTCTGTGGTTGGTTGGTTGGTGTTATTAATAGTATCAAGTATTAATATGATTAATAGTATCATGTATCAAGTATTCAGTTCAGGAAAAAAAAAAAAAAAAGAAAGTATAATATGATTACAATTATTAACTTTAGGATTGGTTGTTGTTATTAATAGCATCAAGTTGGTTTCAAATGCTGGGTTTGCCTTTTCAAATTTTCTTGTGCTGGCCTGATCATCAGATGATATTTTTGATTGGTCCTTTGCTGCTGCACCCGTATTGTCATTTGATTGGGCAATCATTTTATTTTGGTTTAGCCATGTTTGCATTGATAGTCATATGAGAAACTCACTGAATATCAGGACCCTAGCATTAACTGGACTTAATTTCCTGGAATTGTTTTGGGCTTAAGTTATTTTGTGATGAGAGAAGTTCTTTTGAATTGAAACATTTGTCTAAATACACATTTTTTTTTTTTTTTTTTTTTTTTGAGTTTTCTTTGTTGACATTGCAAACCTCTTTGTCCACATTGCAAACCTCTTTGTCAGACTGCTTGACATGGCTATCGTTAATGCAGCTGACTGATTGTTATTCAGAGAAACAGAAGAGGTAGCTGTCAAAACAATATTTTTACCTCATCTCTGAATCTCTCAAGAGTTTCATGTTGGTGCTTGACCATGGGAAATAGTGAAGAGACAAGGCCTTCTAAGTCTGACAAATCCTCTTCACCTCCACCGGTAAGCAAGTGTTTCAGGGCAAATGTTTTGGACTCACTTATTTTGTTGGGTGTCTACAATTTTATGTTATCGCTACTTGATGTTGATTACTGAGTATTGATCATTCCTTTTCTATTGACAGGATCAGACCAACATTCATGTTTATCCTGATTGGGCAGCCATGCAGGTTTTTCATTTGATGCATGCTCTTATCGAACACAAAAAATCAAGTTATCATGTTCCAATGAATTCTATGAATTCTATGTTTAAGTAGTGATTCAAGATAGTTTGTTGCATCTTCAGGCATATTTTGGCGGCAGAGTTACTGTATCTCCGTATTTCAACTCAGCTATTGCATCTGGTCATGCCCCTCACCCTTATATGTGGGGACCACCACAGGTGTGATCTTATTCATCAAACAGTTAATTGTTTCTTATGAATTTTTCAACTACTTCTGAGTCATGCAGAGATGCTGAAGCATGAATTCAGTACGGTTTACTAAGATGATTTGTAACGTAAACTCCCTGTTTTCTCAGCCTATGATGTCACCTTATGGGGCTCCTTATGCAGCAATCTATGCACATGGAGGTGTTTATGCACATCATGGAGTTCCTCTTGTAAGTCCACTTTCTACTGGTGTTGATTATGAGTCAGAATGAGAATGGAATAAGTTAATCTTAGAATGTTCCATAGTTATGTTTCCATCAGTGTACTGTATATGATGAGGAGCACATCCCTGGAATGTTCAGTTTCTTAACTATAAATGTAGCTCTCAATCAACTTTTCTGTTCTGTCCCCCTTTTACCATTTCTTAAACAACCCAATCTCATGAAATGATGTAGTTCATGAATTAAATTTGACCATATTAGAATATCCAATTGAGCCGTAATATGTATGCTGTTGTTTTCTGTAACTCTATGGTTCGTGTGGTCAGATGGTTTCACCTTCTGCTGTTAGCAAAGCATTGGTACTTCGATTTTTCCAATGATCTTTGTACTTTCTTCTATTCATTTTATGGTGAATTCAGAAGAACTACATTATTGAGGGAAAAAGGATTGTCTTTTCTAGCTACATAGTGACACAAATGGATTTTGGATCTCATTTTGATTAGCAACGCAGACTGCTGCTCCGAACGCGGAAACACCTACCAAGTCATCAGGAAATACAGATCAAAGTTTACTGAAGAAGATGAAAGGGTTTGATGGACTAGCAATGTCAATAGGCAATGGTAATGCTGACAGCGCTGAAGGTGGTGCTAAACATGTGCACTCTCAGAGGTTGGTTATCATATTTTATTTCAAGGCTTCTCTAGTACTCTTTACAAATCAGCAAACCCACTTTCTTTATCTCCCAAGATATTTGCCTGCTGAAATAGATTCTCCCTACTATGCCTCCCATACCAAGGTTAACTTTTAAATTTTGTGATCATGTGAACAGTTCAGAGACAGAAGGTTCAAGTGATAGAAGTAATGGTAATACAGCAGGGGTAAGAGTTTTGTCTCTCTGCTTAAGCACTTATTTGCATCAACTAGTGTTTTCATATTATTTATGTTGATTTCTATGCATTTATAGTGAAGAGTGCTGTACGTCTTAGTGATCTCACATCTTTTTTCAGGTGGATCAAAATGGTAGGAAAAGGAGCCGTGAGGAAACACCAACTATTGGTAAGATTTTCTTCACTAAGATCAATCTTAATAACAATCATATTTACCCGGATCACTATTTCCCAGTGGGAATGGATCTTTGCCTGCGACAGTGTACATATATGGCATATGATATGTGCCATGGTAAGCATATCAGCCAGTGTGATGATTAGACTTGTCCTTTTAATTTAAACACTTTGTATGTAAAATTTATTTGTCAAAGTATAGAGATAAATGCCTTCTTAGAAACAAAAAATTATAATTTGAAAAAAAAGAGGAGGAATTATTGCCTAGTTTTCTCTTATGGGTGGCTGGGAGGAGTGACTATGCAAAGACTCAACTTTTGGAATGGTTTAAGTGACAGCTTGAGTTTTAAACTTGCAGGAAGTTCTGCCCTTTAAAAATGGCCACTGGTACTGCCAAATTGGAATAGATGCTTTGCCCCACACACACGTGTGTATATATTTATGTGAATATGTATCACAAAGATATGTATGCATAAGCATGTTTATAATATTTGATAATCAGATTTGAGGCATCCTAGGAATTATTAGTTATTCATGCTCTGAATTTGTTGTCTGTTGAGAACCTTGATTCAAATAATATTACCAGAAAAATGTAATTTAAGCCTGTGAATTGGCTGCTGAACATTTTTTTTCCCCACCACATCTAATTCTGACTTGATGTACAGCAATCTTGAGTTTCATGTTCCTAAATTAAAATGATTTAGATGATTTTGGGAACTACTTGCATGATTTCATTTCTTGGCTAATTTATTTGTTTGTTGGGTTGATCCTGTTATACCTACAGGTGGAAATGGGAAGATTGAAGCACAGAACAGTCCAATTCCAGCTTGTGAAGTAAATGGGAAACCTGATAAAGTTATGGGTATAAATGTCATTACAGGAAATGTGGTGGGAAATATAACCGCCATAGCAAATGCAAAGGCTAGTCCAATAAGTGTTCCACAACCTTCTGCCGCGATACCAAATGAAGCCTGGTTACAGGTACAGTCTGCATATGTCTTACTCTTCTATTTATTTCTACGTTTTGCCTTCCACATCACATATATATACGTTGGGTTTATCAAGTATTTGAATATGCATTCTTGAGATTAAACATTTTCATTGAAAAGAAATTACATGGTGTTTGCTTGTTATCTTGAACCTAAGTTCTGGTTGTGTTTTTGACTTTATACTCAGAATGAGCGAGAGCTTAAACGGGAAAGGAGGAAACAGTCAAATCGTGAATCTGCAAGAAGGTCTAGATTGAGGAAGCAGGTATATAGTACATATGAAACATCTAACTTGAATATGTCAATTTGTTTTTACCCATTACTTGTCTTTATGTTAGTTCTTGTTCCTGGCTTTTATTTTCTTTGCCCAGGCTGAGGCCGAAGAACTTGCAACAAGAGTTGATTCCCTCACTGCTGAGAACATGACACTCAAGTCTGAAATTAATCGACTAACTGAGAATTCAGAGAAACTCAAGCTTGAGAACACTGCACTAATGGTAGTGCAACCTAATTTGCTTTCATTATTTTGATCCCGAATCAGTCTTATCTCATTTTCTGGATCTCACATATGGGTTTGTACTCAGGCGAAACTGAAAATTACACGAGTGGGACAAACAGAAGAGGTAGTTTCAACTAAGGTAGATAAGAAGAGAATGCCTATCAGCACTGAGAACTTGCTTTCTAGAGTCAACAATTCCGGATCTATAGATAGAAGCAATGAAGACGGTGAAGTGTACGAAAATAACTCAAACTCCGGTTCAAAAAAGCTTCATCAGCTTCTGGATGCAAGTTCCCGGGCAGATGCTGTGGCAGCTCGCTGATCGTTTGATTTAAATGGTAAGTTAATTATCATGATTTTGGCATAATTACGAGCCCAAAATTACCGCTAACAGTACGATTTAAGAACACAAAAAAAGGCACTGATTTTTACTTGTGAAGGGAATTCAACCTAAATAGTTGATGTACCAGAGAGAAAAAGTGTAGATTAGGGGTTGTGAAATGGGGACCTATGTTAATGGTTTGTATAAGTTATTGAGCAGTTTTTATCGACCCTTTTTTATGAGGATGGATAAACAAATGTAAAACCTCTTTTGGAAATACATATGTTTGCTCTTTTATCTTTTAGGTTTTTATTTTTTTCGTCTTCTGATTTTATTTTATTTTTTAAGATGAATTATATTAACGGTTCTTGTAGTTTGGTACTTGTGTTACTTTGGATCCTGACTTTTTAATTGTAATATATTTGATTTTGAATTTTGAAGTTCGTTCCAAATAATGACAATGGAAGAAACTGTTGTTCCATTTGAAAGACAAAATTGTTAATTTGATAAAATATAAATTAGTTTGATAAAAATAAATGTCAAAAAAATATTTTTGGAATTTTGAAAAATTATTTCTATCCATCAAAGATAAAACTATATAAACATGATAAATTTTATATATTTTTATTTTTTACCAAATTAATTTTTAATATGTTATTGAATGATGATCGTGTAATGAGTTGTTTTTATTGATGTTTTTATCATATAATAGATAGTTGTATTTGTTGTTAACAGATATTTTTAAATAGTTATTACGTAATGGATGGTTATTAGACTTTTAATGTATAATTGAAATGTTTTTAGTTTTAGATTTTTTTGATTTAATGGATTGGTTTAATAATGACATTAAAGTTGTCTTGTTTTATTTTTGAAAAAATAAAAATTCATTTAACGAAAATAAATATCTATATCTGTATATATATATTATCTTCTCAAAATATAAAATTATATAAAAATGGTATGTTTTTAATTTTTTTCATCAATTTAATTTTTAATTTCTTAAAAAAAAATTGAAAAGCAAACTAAAGAGAATTTTATAATCAAAAAAATTTCAGCATTATTTATTAAAAAAAAAAGAGTGAAACACTAATAAATCTCAAATTTTAATATGTTAAATCATTTAGTCCTACTTTCTTTTTTATGGCTTGAAAAGTTCTATGTGAATGTTGATTACATTAAACCTCGTTTAGTTAGCACTTGTTTTGTATTTGAGAATAGGTAGTTGTGGGTTTAAGTGATGTTGTAGTTATCAAAATGTCCAAAAACATACTATAGCATTTTTTTGGTTTTCCCTCCATCCCAAACAAAATGGATGAACTAGAATAGAAACTTTTGGTTTTCTTCGGAATGTTAGTGACTGGGTTCACATTATGTGTGACTGAGGCGTAGAGATTGTTAATGTTGATCGTAGAATATTCATTCTCAAAATAACGTTGCATAGTACCCACTAAAACCCTAGAAGAACAAAAAAACCCCTTTATCACATTTGCGAAGGCGATTAGGCGTGGGTACTGAGGGTTCTTGAGTTGTGATCGTCCGTTGGCCGTAACATCGGCGAGTTAACATCATTCGTTGACCAACGTTGGTGTGGGTGTCAGGCAGCCATGGCAATAGGTATGCGTTTCTTTGACTTTGCTTCGAATATATGTGGGTCAGTGTTCGTTGTGGTAAGCATAGCATCATCCGTTCAAACATTGACATTCCCAGATTTGGATGCTGTTATGTTGTGCTGAAATCAAATAGAGCAATGTATTGGTTTTTGATTGTCAAATATGTCGATGTTCGTTGGGGTGTTTGTAGGAACCCATAATGTTAATGTGGTGGGTCTTAACGACACTCTGTGTTGTGGAAATATGAATGTTGGATTGATGTTAATGTAGGTAATTTTGGAAATATAATGTAATCATGTTGTTGGTTGGAGTTCTGTGCTGGTTTTTGTTGTGTATGTGTTGGCTGTATAATTTATATAAGCCAATCACAATTCAGCACGTGGCATGAAAAGGGCAATTTGGAGAGTTAATACAAGTTGCCAACCATAGTCAGACACGTGTCAGTCCGTATTGGTAATAATGGGTCTGCGTAGCACTGGAATGATCGAGGGATATAAGGTGATGTGGCCTAACATTTACTCACAAGGTTTAAATTCAAAATCAGGAGGGAAGCCTAACTGCAAATGTGGTGTAGTGGAACTGACTGTGAGAGAGCATGTTCAACAATCATGGAGGGACATTTTAGTTAGAAGCCCACGTCAACGGTTAGCATTGAGAATTATAAATAGCAGAGAAAGCCCTAGAAAGGAAGATCCGGACTCAAATAAAAAAACTAGTTTTATTTACTTTGTTTTCCCTTCCAGTTTTTACAGTTCTTTACATTTCTGTATTTTAAATTCTTATACTGCACTTCATTCATAAGTGTAGTTTCAAATAGCTTGTTGCTGTAAACCTTTACGAGGTTGGGTCAGATCATTATAAGTTTTTTATTTTACTTAATGAAATTATGAAATTATTCTTCACTTAATTGTTATTTACTAAATTCTCCTAAATAAGCCACTAGTAAAAGTCCTCTTCATTGAGGCTGAAAGAACTAAAACACAATCGTTTGATAATTGGTTGGCAAATAATCTTCTTTAAGGACTGATTGATCCTTACTGGTACACTTAAAATTACAATACTAACCTTCGAAAGCCAAAAAAGCCAACATATATTTTTGGCACGCCCGGTGGGACAAATTGAAATGGCTAGACGTAGGAGTCAAGGAAAAAATAAGCGTCTGGAAGAAGGTGTGAAAGGAAAGGTAAAGGTACCTGATCTAGAGGATAATGTGATAGCACATCCTATGGAAGCACCTATCTCATCAGAACCTATGGTCGAACAGACCAGTAATTCAGAACATACACCACATGTTCAAAATATTGGACGAGGCCATGGAATTGGATCATCATTGTTGTTTACTAAATTATTCTAAACAAGTCACCAGTAAAAGTCCTCTTCATTAAGGCTGAAAGAACTAAAACACAATCGTTTGATAATTGGTTGGCAAATAATCTTCTTTAAGGACTGATTGATCCTTACTGGTACACTTAAAATTACAATACTAACCTTCGAAAGCCAAAAAAGCCAACATATATTTTTGGCACGCCCGGTGGGACAAATTGAAATGGCTAGACGTAGGAGTCAAGGAAAAAATAAGCGTCTGGAAGAAGGTGTGAAAGGAAAGGTAAAGGTACCTGATCTAGAGGATAATGTGATAACACATCCTATGGAAGCACCTATCTCATCAGAACCTATGGTCGAACAGACCAGTAATTCAGAACATACACCACATGGTCAAAATATTGGACGAGGCCATGGAATTGGATCATCCATTGTTCCATCTGCTCAGTCAATGAATCCATAGAGAGGCCCAGTAGATGCCATGGGATAGTAGTTAATGAACACAATGGAAAGATGGGCAATATCCTTTATGGATCAGATGAATGTCCATCAACCAACTAACACAAGGCATATGGAGGAAAATTCAAATGTCCCTCAACAAAGATTGACTAGAGATAAACAGCCTATGCAAAGTAATGGACATACTGATGGTCAGACTAGTAATCAAAATTATGAAAGACCATCACCTATACCTTAGTCTTGGTATGAGCCTCTTTTAAGGCCTATGGTAAATCAAAATGCCTCATTACCTAACAGTGAAGCCATACAAATTGGTAGATTTGGGCCAATACAAGAAAATGACATGAGAATGTTTCCAAATTCCATGTTCAAAGCCATACTTGGCACAAGGGGGTTCACTAATCCCTTGTTCGAATTCGCACCTGGCGGGTTGGAAGGGTTTCCTGCGGCTGGAAAAGAAACAACGCATGTTCCTCCTATTACAACACCTTTTGCAGGACAGGCTCAGAGAGGTCAACCATACCCAGTACCACAAAGATAACCAGTCCTAAATATACCTTCCTATGGACCAAGAGGATCTCAGACACAAGGTTTTCCACCAAATCTTATGTTTGTTCCTCCACTGGTAGTCCAACAAGCACAAAATATGATTTCTAGGGACCAAATTACTGATATTGTCAGAGAAATGTGTGGACCTATGGCTCGAGGGGTTCAAAATCCTGTGTATAGGAAGCCATACCCAGAATGGGTAGATAAGGTGCATAAATACCCAAGGGGGTTTAGAATACCAGACTTTGTTATTTTTTATGGGAATGGAAACCAGTCAACAGTAAAACACATTGTTAGGTTCACTGTCCGATGTGGTGAATTTACCAATAATGATTACATGCAGTTAAGACTTTTTCCAAATTCTCTAACTGGGGAGGCTTTTGTATGGTATATTAACCTTACACCTGACTCTATCCAAACTTGGCGGCAAATGGAGGAGGCATTTCATGCCCAATTCTTCCAAACAGAGCCAGGAGTTTCCATGGCAGACTTGGCAAGGTTAAGTCAAAGGCTTGATGAACAGGCTGTTCAATTTATTGTTAGATTCAAAAGAGCACGAAACAAGTGTAGAGTCATTTTACTAGAGCCTGAATTTGTAAGATTGACTCAAAATAGTTTAGAGTTTAGGCTTCGAAAGAAGTTGCACTCAACTGAGTTTCGAGACTTAGTGGAATTAACCTATAAGGTGTCTAGATATGATTCATTACTTGAGGAAGAACAAGATCGAAGTAATGCATTATACAAGACTTATTATAAAGATCCTAATTATGAGATTGATGCAGCAGAGATCGTAGGGAAATCATAGAGAAAGAGTCTGTGATCTGTGAGGCATTAATTCATAAAGACACTACAATAGACCAGTAGTTTAAAAAGAAAGACCTTCATAGGAAATACTCTTTCGATTTAATAAAGGCATATGACATTTTTGATCATTTGCTTGCAGCGAATTTCCTAAAGTTACCAAAATGAGTTAAAATTCCTTCTCCAGAAGAACTTAAAGGGAAAATGTATTGTAAATGGCACAATTTTTGGTTTCATTCAACTAAAAACTGTATTGTTTTTTGGGACAGGATCCAAGAACAGATTCGAAAGAGGAGTTTAACCCAGCTAAAGCAGAGAAAGTTATAGGAATTGACACTAATCTATTCCCAGAGATTGGAGAAGTTACAGCCAATGTTATTGTGCCACACTTCCAAAACTTATCCTTAGAGGAATTGGAAGAGGTTTGTCACGATCTAAACCCGCCCCTATAGCTTTAGTGTCGTAATTGGCTAGTAATCCGCGATTACCAAAGGCCTGATTGAACCAAGCAAATACACGGGGCTAGCAGAAGCTATTATATAAGAAGACAAAATGTCAAATGAGCTGTGAATTCACATGAAACAAAAGATAT